ACCGTGGAACCCTCAAAATCAAAGTACAGGGCACCTCAAAAATCGAATGTTATCACCTAACGAACGTTTCGAAAATTAAGACCATTTTTTTGGACAACTGTGTCACCTATTAGAATGCGCCCCTATTTTCGGACCGCCGTTACGGAACCTGACCCGCTGGGCCTGTTACTGTCCGCGTTCCCCGCGCAGGCACCGTGAGTAATCCTAGCTTTGTTCATTGCTTGAGTGAAACACTAACCAGCTATCTCATTCACACATTTTACGATTATTTAATTGGTTTAGTGCTTGTGGGGCTGTGGAATAAGCCTGCCCATGGGCCCTAAGAAACTGCTATGGTACCCCTTTGGTAAAGAAAGTGAGAAACACCATAATTGAAGAAGGAAATAATACAAAGTATGAGATTGGAGTGGAGACTTGTTGAGCTGCCAGGATGCACAGAGGCTGTGGACAAGTATTTTTGTGAGACAGAAACAAGACGACTGTGGAGAAGTTATTTTGTGAGACACAAACAGACGACTGTAGGAGTTATTTTGGCGAGACAAAACAGATGATTGTGGACAGTTATTGTTGTGAGACACCAACAGACGACTGTGGACCAGTTATTTTGGTGAGACACAAACAGACGACTGTGGAAGTTATTTTGTGAGAAGAAACAGACGACTGTGGAGTTATTTTTGCGAGACAAACAGATGATTGTGGACATTATTTTGTAAGACAAAACAGACGACTTGTTGGAGTTATTTTCGAGACAAACAGATGATTGTGGACAGTTATTTTTGAGACAGAAGACAGACGACTGTGGAGTTATTTTGCGAGACAAACAGATGATTGTGGACAGTTATTTTGGATGAGACAAAACAGACGACTGTGGATCAGTTATTTTTTGAGACAGAAACAGAGGACTGTAACAGTTTTATTTTTGTGAGACTGGGGTCCAATGACTCTCAAGCTGCCTAGTGGCCTTAAAATGCAGAGAAGGGAAGCAACCCCAGAAGGGCATTGATCCAAAGTTCCTCATGGAGGGGATTCTCCTTCCAAACACTAACCCCAACTCCCCTCTCTCCTCCTCCCTATCTTCCAGATTCCATCACCAATCCCTCAATAAAGGTAAGTAAAAAATGTTTATTTATATACTGATACAAAATTAAAGACTATAGCAATTTGTTGTGTGTATGTAAAACTGTAATTAATCTCTATAAAATTATTTTTTTGTGATATATTTTTGGGTTTCTGGAACGAATTAATTGTATTTCCATATTTCTTAAGGGAAATATGCTTCAATTTCAGACTTTTCGAATTTAGAACTGCTCCCTGAACGGATAAGTTCGAAATCGAGGTTCCCACTGTATATATATTTGTACATGTCGTGTAGTGACTAAGTGTAAGTACAAGTACAAGACCATACCCTGAAATCTTGCATGTCATGGATGGAAAAATGGACACCACAATCCTCACATCATGTAAAACAATTAACAGGATTCGTTTTAAACACTCACTTGGCAAAGGGACGGGGTAAGTACCTCCCTGAGCGGTAGCTGACTACCAACCTCTACCTATACAGTGACCCCCGCTTAACATCACCTCCCAATCGACCAATTATGTAATTGTATTATGTAAGTGCGTTTGTACTGTATTTTGGGGGTCTGAAATGGGACTAATCTACTTCAAATATTCCTTATGGGAACAAATTCGGTCAGTAATGGCACTGAACATACTTCTGGAATGAAAAAAGTATCTTTACTGGGGGTTTCACTGAATTTTGTACTTTTTTTTTCTTAACAAGTTGCCATCTCCCACCGAGCAGGGTGACTCAAAAAGAAGAAAACCCCAAAAAGAAAATACATTCAATCATCATTCAACTCTTTCACTCACTCACACGTAATCAGTTTTTTGCAAGAGGTCCTCAGAACACAACAGTTAGAAAGCACATACAATAAAGATACACAACAAATCCTCCAAACTGCTAAATATCCCAAAACCCTCCTCCTTTAGAGTGCAGGCATTGTACTTCCCAATTTCCAGGACTCAAGCCGGCTATAATAAAAAATAACTGGATTCCCAGAAATCCCTTCACTAAATATTACCCTGCTCACACTCCCAACAGATTGTCATTCCCAAATACCATTCGTCTCCATTCAAAATCCTAATCAACACGCTCACGCACACCTTGCTTGGAAGTCCAAGCCCCTCGCCCACAAAACCTCCCTTACCCTTCCTTCCAACCTTTTCGAGGCCGACGCCCTACCCCAAAAACTTTCCTTCCCCTACAGATTTAAATGCTCTCCATTGTCATTTCTACTTTGATCCATTCTCTTCTAAAGACCAAACCACCTCAACAAACCCTCCTTCAGCCTCTGACCTAATACTTTTTAATTAACACCACACCTTCTCCTAATTTCCCACACTCCGAATTATCTGCATAATATTTACACCACACTTTTTGCCCTTAGACCGACATCTCCACTGCGTCCAACCGCCTCCTCGCTGCAACATTCACAACCCAATCTTCACACCATAAAATATATTTAAATGTGTTGTGAGATTACAGATAATGAAAATAAGATACATTGGTTTTCCTTATGTTGTGGCACTGAGAAATACAAAAATACAGTTTTTTATTATATTTAGTTGTTGTTGGGATGTGTAAGTGAAAGAAGGTAGTTTTTTGAGATGCAGCAAGACAGTGGCTCTGGGATTTCTGGCAGGAAGTTTTCCAGATTTTTGGGTCCTTTTTTGCACACTGGATTTTTTTTACAAAGGTTACGCGGAACACAGAGCATGTCAGAGAATTTTTGTGCTGGTATTATGTCTAGGGGTCCTACTGTAACCTATCAAGGAAGTCCTTCAGGCCAGGATTAATATTAAATTTAATTGTTTTTGGCATATTATCGGAATGCACAGTAACAAGTAGATTTAGATGATCTTTTGAAGAGTGTGTGGGTGTGGGGGGGGGGATAGTGTTTGTTGTCTAGCCAGGGGATTGTGTGATCATTCGCACTGCAGGTTTCTGCTGAGGTTATTATTGCTTGAGGTGATTGCTGTTTGTGGATCCCCAGGCACAAATACATAGGGGAGGTAGGGGCAGATCAGTGAACAGTAATGATATAAGCCAGTGCTGTTTTGGCATAATAACATTCTTTGAAGAAGATGTCAACTGTACTGGATATTTTTTTTGTATATGCCTGGATATAGGTGTTGAATGTCAAGTGCTATCAAGGTATATGACCCAGACATTTTCCCTCATTATGTTTAGACAATAAGACTATTGTTGTATCAAGAGTACACACCATGCTACATGTGGACAGCTTGTACAAGAGTAACACACCATGCACTGGAGGTCAGCATGTACATGAAGACACAACATGCAACATGGTGGTCAGCTGTACAAGATAACACACCCATGCACATGTGGTCAGCATGCACAAGAGTAACACACCATGCTACATGGTGGTCAGCTTGTACAAGAGTACACACCATGCTACAGGTGGTCCAGTTGTAACAAAAGTACACACCATGCTCATGGTGGACATTTTGTAAAGGTACACATCAATGCTACATGGGGTCAGTTTGTACAAGAGTACACAACCATGCTACATGGTGGTCAGTTTTACAAGAAGTACACACCAGCTACATGGTGGGTCAGTTTTGTACAAGAGTACACCCATGCTACATGTGGTCAGTTTGTAAGAGTACAACACCATGCTACATGGTGGTCAGTTTTGTACAAGAGTAACACACCTATGCTACATGGTGGTCAGCATGTACAAGAGTAAACCCATGCTACAAGGTGGTCATTTGTACAAGAGTACAAACCATGCTACATGGTGGTCAGCTGTACAAGAGTACACTACCATGCTACTGGTGGTCACTTGTACAAAAGTACAACAAACCTATGCTACATGGTGGGTCAGTTTGTACCAGAGTACACAACTGCACATGGTGGACAGTTTGAAGAGTAAGCACACCATGCTACATGGTGGTCAGTTTGTAAAGAGTAAACACCATTGCTACATGGGTGGTCAGTTTGTACAAGAGTACACACCATGCAACATGGTGGTCAGTTTGGTACTAGAGTACACACCATGCTACATGG